CATTTTCCCTGCTAACAATAGCTTCATGACGTCATGACTGTCCTAATTTATCGGGATATTCCGGACTGATCAGTAGTTCGATTTAAAGTTCAGAAACGTATGCCGATATTCGACGAGGTTTGATCTCACATCAGACTTCCCATATTGTCTCGGTGAAATATTGATACCGAAGTTTAACAGAAAATTAAGTATATCTTACTGTCTTTCGATTATTACTTGTCTGTTCCTATTTACTTCAATTGCGAAGTGCTGCGCTGACTATCCAATTTGAGAATTTTAATTATACCGTTACGCATCTTTGGAGATCTGGGACAGTTAATCAGGGTGCGAGGAAAAAAATCGGGCGCGACGAAAGTTTACAAGGTCGTGTGGTCGTGCTGGGAACCGACTCTTAACACACCATTTCCAAAAGGCTCGGCCAATGCTGGGTCTTGATTGGGCAGAAAAATCCTTCATTATATTTTTCCCAATCGTCTGTAGCTCCTGAGGTACTTTGGTGTGTTCTTACACAGCGGCTGTTCAATCACCATACTTGCTTGGCTAGTTCACAAACGTGCAACGTCCTGCGTGCGAGGGTAACTTTTATTTTAATTTCCTTAGATAGAGGAAATATCTAAATGATAACTTGAGGGATCATTTTGGATGTTAGCAGCTCGGCCTTTCTAAAATGGACGGACAATATTATTTTTCGGGCCGATCACAAGGTATCGTTAATTCGTCGTCGTCGTTTTCGTCGTCTTCTTCGTCTTTGTCTTCGTCTTCGCCGTCGTGGTTCTCGTAGACTTCGTCGTGGTCGTCTTCGTATTCTTCTTCTTCGTCTTCTTCTTCTTCATCATAACCAAAGTCGATGAAAAAGACAACTGATTACTTGTTACATTTGATCCCACAATGATTCAAATCGATGTGGTCTTCTATCTTCAGTCTGCTCTTGATAGCATTTACAAAACAAAATTCCCTGACATATGCCACGTTGTGCCCAGTACCTAAAGGGGGCGCAGAAACCGTTCATATTAACATATTCTTGAGTTAAATTTCTTCAGAAGTTTTAAAAGTGGCCGAAAAGGCATTTTAGGTACAAGCTTTCAAACAGACAAGTAATTAATAACATAGTAGTTTATCATACTTCCTTTTGTTTATATCTTATGAATGATTGCTTTACCCCCTTCCCCTCCAAATCCAAAAGGGTTAACCGGTCATTTAATACCCACGCCTAACTTTCTAGG